CCTGCCTCAGCCTACCAAGTGCTGGAATTACAGGATGAGGTTATAGTCTGAGGATTACAGGCATGGGCTACCTTGCCCAGTTTGACCTTAAGTTTGGTTTTTTTTTGGTACCGGGGATCGAACTCAGGGCCTCGCGTTTGTAAAATAGGCAGTGGAACTGCTGAGCCAAATGCTGGCCCTGACCTTAAGTTTTTGATAAAGCTATTAGTTGTTTATTCAGAAACTGCAGTAGTCTCTGCTCATGTACTTGTTTGTTAATATATGCCTCTTTGCCATTTCAATGCCAGAGGAGCTAGCTAGAGTGATTTCAGAGACTATTGTCTTCTTGCATCCAGAGCAGAGTTGTGAATCTTGCTCCTGGGGTCCCCATTTCTTCCTTACAGTCACCATTCTTTAAATGATCAGCATGAAATTTTGCAGCCACCTGGCCTTCTTCCTTCTAAGATATTCAGGCCTGGAGCAGATGCAGGAAGGCATTTTTCTTAATTTACTAATGGACAGTGTGGACTCCTGTAGCAACCCTGGCAGGAAGCTTTCCTTTACCCTCAGTGGTGTTTGTTCTGGTCCAGTGTCTGCTTCTTTGAAGATTTCCCTTGAAGTTTCATGACCTTCTAGTTTTTTGTGCTACTTCATAGGTTCCTGTGTCCCTTAAATCAGCCACTTCTTTTTGGATAAAAATTTACATGCAACAACTTGGCTGTATTTTGGTGGCGAGGGGGTAACTACTGGAGATTGAAGCCAGGGCCTTAGCACTGAGCTGCATTCCATTTCCTTTCATTTTGAGACAGGGTCTTGCTATGTAGTTCAGCCTGGCTTTGAACTCACTATGTAGTGCAGGCTAGCCTTGAGCTCACAAAGATCCTCCTGTCTCAGCTTCCCAAGCTGGGATTACAGGCATATGCCACCACAACCACCTCTTGCAGTTGTTTTTTTTTTAAATAGGTTCATTTATTTTGGGGAGAGAGTAATTTTTTTATTTTTTATTCTTTGGTACTGGGGATTGAATGCTTGCGAGGCAGGAGGTGGAACCACTGAGCTAAATCTCCGCCCACCCCCCCTATTATAGATTCTTTACCCTAGAGTCTGAAGCTTATTCTCTGCAGCTTTGGCCTGAAGGAATGAGGTCCAGTGTGAACGGGGCTAGTGATTTTTATAGCTGGAGATGGAAGGGTGGACATGAGCCAGAGATAATTTTCCCACAGGTGCCTTGGGTGCCAGCTGGGCCCTTACCCATTCTCTAAGGCTGACCCCAGGTCTGCTGTGCAGGTTTCCTTCCCACTCACCCATTGGTTCAACACATGCTTAGTGGCCTCTGACCTGGACACCGTCTCCAAGCACTGTGCTAACTCCACAGGCACAATGGAGAGTAAGGAGAACACTGTAACTGCTTACATGAGCTTATAGTTTATCAAGCCAGAGAGGCCAGAAAGTAGAACATCATCACATGTATGTGTGTGAAATTAATGAAGAGAAGAAAGTGTGCTGAAACTGAGGATGGGAGCCAGCCCTGCGTGGGGCTAGCATAGGAGAGGACAGGGAGCCAGGAGCTCTAGGAGTATTTAGGCACTGGAGAGGGAAGGCAGCCAAGATGACTGGGGTCTGTGGAGATTGCAAGCATGAAAGTAAAAACATAGTAAGTAGACTGAACCAGGTCACAGGAGGCCTCAGGGCCAGCATGGAGTGTGTGGGGGCTGCACTTAGGCTCCTGGTAACAGATCCGCCTTTCAGAGAAGCACTGGACAGCGAATCATATTTTGTGGCAGTTTTAATTGAGATCTGCAGGGGCTGTCTTTGCATGGCTTGTCTGGGGGCGGTTTGTACCCAGAGGAATCAGTGTGATACTAGCACCCATAGGGCTGGAGATTTAGCTCAGTGGTTCTGCCACCTGCCTCACAAGTGCAAGGTCCAGAGTTCGATCCCTGGTACAAAAAGAAAAAACACAACACAAAACAAAACAGCACCCACTTGGTGGCTGCCACAGAATGCAGTCAGGAGCCACTGAGCCAGTGGAATTCTGTGCCTTGCAGTGGGCTCTGTCCTCATGGATGAGCCCCGAAACAAATGCTTCCCACTGCATAACATGCCTGTGTGTTCATTGTGTGTGCTCTTGAGAGGTCTCGTTCTGAGCATCTTGTTACCCAGCAGCAAGGCTGGGTGGATGTGGAGTAGAGGGACAGCTTGGACACAGACCCCAGGATGTCTTGGGTGGGGAGTGCTACAGAGGATGCATGTGGCTTGTGCCAGGACCAGCAGTGCAGCAGGGACGCGACCAGGGCCAGCTGCAGCAGGCATGTCTTCTGGAGGGAGCCGTGTGGGAAGGAGGCATCTTTCTGGCCGCACTTTGTGTGCTCAAGCAGTGTTCCCAGTGCCCTAGGTTAACCCGGTCCTGAGGAGAGCACGGCGTGTCACCAGCTGGTTATAATTATATCTCCCTGTTCTCCCAGCAGCTGTAAAGTACATATTACTCTCCAGGGAAACCTTACCAGTGGCCTTCACTGCTGAGAAGCCTGAACAATAAAGAGCTGCCTTCCAACCCAAACATCATTAGACTTTGTAGGCTTTGCCACTGTTCAGGCTCTGACAGAGCTATTGTGTGTACTTACACGCGATGTTTTGGCTCCCTTCCTCTGGAGTTTAGTTTACTTCCTGTGCCTCTTTCTGATAAGCCATCCACCTAGTTGGACTTGGTGTGTAAGTGTCCAAAGGAGCATTGTGTGGGGCCTGCCTGTTCTTTTAGAAAAGTGGAGTCCTAGACCCTCCTACTGCCAAGCTGAGCAGCAAGGGCTCTGGGCCATGACTTTAGAAGAATATTGCAGTTTGTTAGCAGCCCAGTGCCTGCCCCCTGCCCCATGCTGGGGAGGAGGTGAAAGGGCTTCATTTTCCCCCCATGGCATCCAGCCAGCCAGAGTGCAGTGAGGTTTCTCTCTCCAAGACCTGGAGTTTGTAGCCTTAAGTTAGGCTAGAGGGGAAGTTAGCAGAAACAGCACTGTCTGGTCCCAGTGAGCCAGAGAGCAGGGGGGCTGCCTGTGCCTAGGCCCAGGAAGCAAGCTTTCCCTGTGGGTAGGAGGCCAAGCCTCACTGCTCTGACCACTCAAACCCAGCAGAAAGAGCTGTGATAAAGAGGGAATGCAGAAACAGGGAAAGCACAGCTCTCCCTTGCGTGACTTCACAGCTGAAGAGCATGTTTGAAGTTGGGCAGGTGTGTGACTTGTCTGACAGGTTTGGGGCTGTTAGTGACTTAGGACTCATGAACATTCAGTCAGCTTTTACACACTGCTATCAAGGCCTCCTATTTAGTTCTGAAAATATTGCATGTCTGAAGCAAGCCATAAAAATGGCAGTGTTTTTTGGAGGGTTATTGGAGGTCGAACTCAGGACCTTGTGCTTGTTTTAATAAGTTGTTGACACACAAGGTCAAGCTGTAGCCTTGAGCATCTTGACACCTGGGGCATCAGCAACTGACATTTCAGAGAGCAGTGGGAGAAGAGACTCCATGCTCCTATTGATGCTGTTCGTTGCTTTGGCCCCAAACGGAAGTAGATGTGGGCAGGTGGAAATGCTCAGCCAACAGGATGGTGTGTTCTGGCACATTCTCATTTTGTATTACTGTCTTCACAAAGACACAGGCCTGGGTGCTGGAGGATTGGTCTGTCCTTGTCTTCCTAGTGCTGAAACATGCTGCATCCCTTGCACTGTGCAGTGCTCCCAGAGATGCAAGGGACTGCACAGCTAGCTCATAGACGCATTGTTGTACGTGACCTGTGAGTGAGGCAGGTTCTCCTCTGTGGGGCTTGGAACAATGGGACAGTGATGAATGTGCCTAAAACTTCACTGTGGAATTGGCCCATTTGAGAATAGCACTTTTGATGATGAACACTCACCTGGGTGGATCAGAGCAGCCAGAGCAAGTGGCAGAAGCATTCAGAGATCAGTGTAGCAGAGGACAGAAGACCTAACAATCATCTGACCCCACTAGATCGAAGCAGGCCCGTGCATTCTCACAAGGTCTTTTCCAAAGAAGCTGTGCATCATCCCATCAGGTAGCAGAGCTGTGGGTCTCTTGACGGGGTCTGCTCCCCAGGGCTGGCTCAGAGGTTTTGACATTTGCAAGATGACATTGGCATCCTGGAGAGGCTTGGCTGTTCAGGAAGAGCTGCCAGTGCAGTTGTAGCACCGAGTTTTCTGTTTTTCTCCTGTCTTGCATTTCCGGAGGTGGCCCTGCATTGTCCCCACTGTGCTGGAACTGAGGCACACAGCAAGGATGTGGTCTTCCTTAGTACACCAGCTGCTGTCTAGTGCTTCTCCTACTGTGCTTCAGTGACAGGCCCTCCGCTGCCTTTGTAGAGTTGTGCTGATGGATAAAAACTGTTGGAGTTTTCTCAGATTAAAGCAAATCATAGGTTACTTGCCCCATGTTTTTTCCCTGTGCCATGTTGGGTCACACTCATTCCGAATCATCTGAGAAAACAAGTTGCTGGTTGAACTTGTTTAGCAGAGTAAGGGGTGAGTGGTAGAAAGAAGCCAGAGGAAATGGGAATAGAGGAACAGCACAAGGCTTCCTGCCTTGAAATTGAAAGAAAACAAGGTGGGGATTGGAGGGTCCCCTAGTGTCTGCCCCACTTCTGAGAAAGATGGGGGGGCCTGCTGGTAAGGACAGCATTGTCCCTGATGTTGGGAAAGTGTGTTCTCTTAATGGAATGGACAGGTTGCTATCACGTGCTGGTAGCACCAAACTCATCCCAGTGGATTCGGCCTTTGTGGTTTGAAGCTAAACTGTTTGGGAAAGCTAAGTTTGTCCTGCTCTGTGGTGATCTGACATAAGCTGTTCCTCAGCTCCCTGTCTGCTCCTTGAGCTCTGGGGGCTGCAGAGCATCTCAGTTTCTGAAGAGGGAGAGGGTGGACTGGTGAGGGTCAGTCTTGGAGGTGGAGTAACACCCATTTGTGAACCTGGTTTCCCCAGTCACTCTCCCCTTCTTTCTTCCCTTCCTTTGGAATGGCAGACTCTGGCCTGGTGGTCCCAAGTGTTTCCTATGAGCTGCATAAAAAGCTATTGTCTGTGGCAGAGAGGCATGGGCTGACCCTGGAGCGGAGACTAGAGATGACAGGTGTGTGTGCCAGTCAGATGGCGTTGACTCTCCTCGGAGGACCCAACAGGTAAGTGCCTCGAGATGCGGGGTTGGGTGGGGGTGGGGGTGAAGGTACCTGGTTACCCCACAGTGCCTTCTGCATGCTGCCAGGTGTCTTTGCTTCTCTGACAGCTGTTGAAAGTCCTCACTGTCCTCCTCCCTTCCTTTCTGATGGTGGCTGTCTTGAGGCTCCTGCTAACTCAGAGGCCTGCCTTCTAGAAGCCTTCAGGGCCTGGCCTGGGGACTTGCTGTTCATTGCCAGTGTCTAGGATGTTATTCAGCCCTGAGCATCACCCCTGAGAACCTCTAGAGCCCCACCTGGTTAGCTGCCATTGGAGCTGGGTCTTGGTGCCTTCCCACCTTCCCTTTGGCCCATTTGCTTTATATATTATGATACCATAATAAATACTGAATACTTTTGTTACCAAGTATCAGATTGTACTCAGCACTGGAGTTACAAAGAGCAAAGGACTTCTGCCTGCCAGGGGTCCGGGAGCTCTCCAGGGAGGACAGTGCTAGGTGGAGGCAGGCACATTCCCAGAAATCTTAGGCTGGGCTTGGGTGGAGGCATCTCCTGCTTTTGATGCAGTCTTGGTGCAGTGAGCTTGGTCCAGGTGGACATGAGGTTTCCCTCCAATCCCCCATTGCTACCCAGGAGGAGGAGTGGCTGTTCTTCCTGTCCTTTTGGGCCCACTTCTGGCTCTGCTGGATCCCAGGCAGCTCCTGCAAGCAGGTGATCTCTGAAGGAGATCTGCCTGGGATACCATCCACAGTGGGCTCCTTTGGGCATCGGGTGCCAGTGAAGGGCTTTCACCCGGCTTCTGGAGAACTGAACAGGGGTCATTTGAGCCCAGGAGTTCAACACCAACCTGGGCAGCCTTGTCTAAAAAGCAAAACACACCCAGGAACAGCAGTTTGGGGACTAAAGCCAGGTCACATTCCTCCCTAACTGGCCTCTGGGGGCTGGCTGACCTGTGCCCCTCTTCTCAGTCTAAGCTGTCAGGTCCACCCTGTCCTTTGCCATGACCACTGGCCTGGCTTGAAGAGTTCCACTGCAGTCCTGAAGCTTGACACATGCTGGCTGCCTTGCAGCTCTGCACAGTGTTTTTACAGTGGAACTTACTATACTCTCTGTAGCATCATCTTAGAGATTGCAGCCCAGGTTGAGATGCATATGTGGAAGCTCAGGGAGCTGCAGGGCTGCCTGGTGGCACTGCTGGTCTTGTTCCAGTGCTGTGAGCTGCACCCATGGCTGACCATATGGGCACTGGCTCTGCTTTCATTTGTGAGGGAGAGGAGAGCCCACTGGGGACAGCAGTGGATCCAGTGCTACAGCACTCTGAGGCTTCTGGGTAAAGGGAGAAACTCTCATCATGGTTCCTCAAGATGCAGAAATAGTGGAGAGAATGGTTTGGTCCATGTTGCTCATTTTCTCAAATTTATTTGGAAAAAAGCAGTCATAACACTTCAGTGGCTTACTGACATCTGTCATCTTTCTCCCTTTGGAAGACTGGGTCTGTCACTCTTCCCCTAAATAGGGACCTTGGCCTTCCTGCCCCAACAGCCAGCTGTTCAGCCTGGGAGCCCAGCAGATCCAGGCCTCGTGAATGGTGGCTGCTTTGAGACCAGAGGCTCTCAGCTCTGAGAAGCAGGAGACCCGGTGGCTGCTTTATCCTAGGCAGCAGCAGCACCACCAGGCTCTGTGCGTCCATGTGGCATTCTGTGAAGCTCCCTTAGGCTCCGTAGCACCTAAGATTAGGACAGAGATTGGCAGGTAGCTGATCAGGGACAATTTAGAACTGTCCTAAGTGTGCTTGAGAGTTCACTACAAGCTGGGAGGAATCAGAGTAGTCCCAGAACAGCAAGCCTTGAGCCAGACCTTAGAAAAAAGATGGGGGGTTTGACAAGGGAGGGCTTTCTGGCAGGGAGAGCCCTATGAGTGCAGGCAAGAGTGAGGGACAGTGCTGCTGGTGTGTAGTGCCACTGGGACCGAGCGCAAGGAAGAATGTGCCAAGTGAAGCTTGACTCTAAAGGGTCAGATTAGGAACCATCAGCGGGGTTCTGGAGACAGTTTTGTACTCAGTGCGCTTCATGGTGGGAGGACCCCACTGTCCAGGGTCCTGGTTGGCTGGATCTGGGCCCCCTCTGAGCCGAGGACTCAGTGAGGAGAGGAGCTTGCCTGATAGGGACGTAAGGATCAGCCAGTCTGCAACTGTTTCTCACTTTGCATTCCAGGCTGAATCCCAAGAATGTTCACCAGAGGCCCACTGTGGCCCTGCTGTGTGGGCCCCATGTGCAGGGCGCTCAAGGCATTAGCTGTGGTAGGCACCTGGCCAACCATGACGTGCAAGTCATCCTCTTCCTGCCCAACTTTGTCAAGATGCTGGAGTCCATCACCAATGAGCTGTCTCTCTTCAGCAAGACCCAAGGCCAGCAGGTGTCCAGCCTCAAAGGTGAGTCCCAGGGCTGGGTGTGGCTCATTAGTAAAGCACTGGCTAGGCACACTTGTGGCCCTTGGTCCATGCCACTCCTGCCGCCTGCCTCACGTAGTATGATGTTCAGGTGGTGCCACCCAGCGGTGACAGATGGAAAGGCACCAAGCGTGCCAGCTCAGGCTCTAGAGCAGTGGAGGCACACCTACCAGTGGCACACATGCTGCAGTAAGCATTTGTATAATTGAAAGCTCTAAGACATTTGCCATTACTGCTCTAGTCTTGGCAGTGCTCACTCCTGTGCCTTGGCCTTCACCCTTTCCCACTCGCTCGTTTCACATCTATTAGTGGAACAGGCACTGTTCCTGGTGCTGGTGATGTGGCAGCATGTGTTTAACACCCACCCTTCATGGAGCTTACCTGTGGGTAGGAGAGATGAAGGCAAAGGTATCACGTGTTAGACCAGGTAAGGTGGGCAGGAGGGCGCCATGGTGGAGTGCTGGCAGGATGGGTTTGGGGAGAGTTGGGCCAGAATCAGCAGAGGGTGGTGCTCAGGTGAAGGTTGGTTCCCCTGAGGGCAGGCGGTTGGAGTTTAGGGTTTGAGTGATGACCTCCCGTATGGCCTGAGCCCTGCTCTCCTTGGGCTACCCCAGGAGGCTTGCTGAGACCCCCGTTCCTGTACTGTCCCTCAGCAGCCTAGGAACCCCTGATGGTAGTAGCCCCAGGATGGCCAGGTTTGGAACCCCCAGGCCCGTGCCTGTCCCAGTCTGGAGCAGGCATCATGTCCTGCATGGCTGCTCTGTGCTCTAGGTTCCATCTGGCACCCTTTCCTCTGCAGATCTGCCCAGCAGCCCTGTGGACCTGGTCATCAACTGCTTGGATTGTCCTGAGAATGCCTTCCTGCGGGATCAGCCCTGGTACAAGGCAGCGGTGGCCTGGGCCAACCGGAACCGGGCACCAGTGCTCAGCATAGACCCTCCTGTGCATGAAGTCGAGCAGGGTATTGATGCCAAGTGGTCCCTGGCACTGGGCCTTCCCCTGCCACTGGGGGAGCACGCGGGCCGCATCTACCTATGTGACATCGGCATCCCCCAACAGGTCTTCCAAGAGGTGGGCATCAGCTACCATTCACCCTTTGGCTGCAAGTTTGTCATCCCCCTGCACTCTGCCTAGAGCCCTGCCATCAGCCGGTGACGGATGCCTTAAGATGTGAAGCTTCATGGGCCTTGCTGTAGTTTTGCTCTTTTGGATTGATTTCTTCTGTGAAACAACAGGACGTGCTGAAAACTGGCCTGTCGCCTGGCGGTGGCTGAGCACCACATGCCTCTGCCCATGGGGTTTGTTTACAGACACAGGCAGCTCTCAGACTGTTCAGGGGTGGCAGGACCTGGGAGGGGGAGGCTCTACCTTCATCTGCTTGCCCAGCCAGCAGCTTCTGCAATGGCTGTGTGGCACCTGTCCTGAAGGGGATAGTCACAAGGGGCTTTTGGTCCTTTCCCTGAGCCGAGCCAGGTAGTATGCTGGGTTTTTCCTAGGTCTTTCTTTTCCCTTCCACCTCTGAGAGAGGTAGCAGGTGGGGGCTAAGAATGGTGTCACTGTATTGGGATTTCTGTGGCTTTCTGCAGTAGCCAGGTCACACAAGGTTATGTTACTGGGGAACTACAGTGCCCATCTTGCCAACATTGCTCATTTAGCTGGTGGCTGAGTCTGGCAAGTCAGTCCAGGCTGCTCAGGGCACAGCTTTAAGGTCCAGGATTGGGGAGGCCCTAGGCAGCCTGGTACTGCACAAGGTGGCTCCTGGTGCTTCTGTTCTAGTCCCCCACCCTCACATCATCCACATTTATGCCCCACTCTCCCATCCCCTCTGCCCACCCCTCAAGATGCTCCCCTGCAGCAGCCATCCCAGAGCAGGACTGTGTCCCTCTCCTGCCTGAGCAACCCCACAGCGTTTTGGTCTGGACTTAACCACTTCTCTGGTTGTCTCTCAGATGTGTAGACTCAGGCAGCAGCCTGTCTCAGATGCCCATGCTGGCTCCAGATGAGCTTTCTGCTGGGTAGCCCACACTTGGCCCCAAAGGGCCCAGCCTGGAGCCCTGGTGGGGCCCCTTGCAAATATGTAGGTCTTCGGGCTCCTTTTGCTCTGCCCACAGTGGCTGGGGGTGGTGGTGGTTGAGGGAGGAAGGATTGGCGGGCAGGGATGAGTTGGCTGAGGATTGTGGTCACAGGGAGGGCCGTGGTGCTAGGGTGTGGGCTGCTCATTTCCTCATAGGCATAGAACCAGGAGCAGATGCAGTAGGGCAGAGGGCTGGCCCCTCTCCTCCCATCATCCTCCAGAGGTAGGAGTAGGCTAGGACCAGTACCTCGTGAGTCTGCTCTGAGCCTTTCCCACTCAGGCCAGGCAGCTCACAGGCCTCCTGTTGGGCAATGAGCTATATAACCTTGCTCTCCCTGCTAGTGCCAGTGCATTGTCCCTGGGTGATGGCTTTGTTGAGGGGCCAGTGGGAGTTTGTGCCGAAGCTTTTCTCTCTGCGTGGCATGGGGACCTCTTTGCCCTCAGTCTGGGCTTCCCTAGAGATTAAGATGGGCACAGTTCCTCTCTTCTGTTCCTCCCAGTGGTCAGGCCAGGCCCCTTGAGGGTCTGAGTGGTGACCAAGCCTGACCCTCTGGGAACCAAAACCAGCAGCACTACAATAAAGCTGAATGAGCAAGTTCTGCACTATGTGAGCTGCTCTGTGGGTGGTGACAGGATGCCACCTCCCCCGTTAGGAACTACCCTGACTATACCAGGTGTTCCACTTCAGTGGACCTCAGCAACACCAGAGCCCGCTTGGGGCCAGTACGCTACCCCAGCATGGGTCACTTCCTCAGCTCACCCTCTGCCTGGCCAGTCCACATGTAGCTCTCCACAGGCTGAGCTGCTAATTAGACTTTATTAGTAAGGTTAGGAGCCTGGAGATGGACGCACTAGTACCAGGGGTTACAAACAGTAAGAAACATTTTATTATAACTTTACAACATATAAATAGCTCCGGTCAAATCTGTGCTTTCTGGCAGCTGGGTGTCCTGCAGGCTCCTGCCTTCCTTCACATTGTACTGTTCATTGGTGGCTGTGGCCCTGAGGCTGGTGGCAGAGGCTAGAGAAAGGTGCCGGCAGCCCAGTCCCCCTCCACCTTCTGGTGTGCAGGCCTCTCCTGTCATCTGCTGGGGTTTCGGCTGGTGTGGAAGGACCGCTCCTCAGGGGTGAGGGCAGCGAAGAAGGGGTGCAGGAGGGCCTCTGCTAGTGTGATGCGCTGTGCAGGGTCAAATTCTAGCATCCTCTGCATCAGGTCGAACAGCTGCACGTGCTCCAGCGAGTCTTGGAGCATGTAACTCTGCTCAGGGACACAAGGCACCTGCTGTGATGGTGGGTGGTAGGAGCCACTGCAGTCCCCTTGCCGCTGGGAGGCCTTGCCAGCCTGGGTCCTCAGAGGACTCTACTTCTGTCCTCTGGGATAATAGCTCCTTTCGTTCCACACCTGAGCTCTAATGGTTCGCTCAGAACTTACAGTATCAGGCATCTTACTGGGTTGGCACCTCTTCCCCCACATGCAAATCCTGACCATCTCTGTACACCCATTTGTCCAGCTGGCACCAAGTGCAGTTGCCAGGCTTCCTGACCAAGTTTCAGTCACCCCTCCCCTGTGCCTCAGTCCTGCCCTAATTGTTCCCAAAATCAAGAAAATGACAGGAAGCAGCAGTCTCTGCGGGCACCAGGGCTTCGCTGGTGCTCCCCATTTATGTTAGCCACCCAACGGGGAAGGGGTTGGGCTAAGGGCGGCTGCAAGAAGCCAGCAATGCTGTGTTCTGCACCCTGCTGGAGTACAAAAAGCCAGTCAGCCACCTGCCCAATGCCTGGGATCTCTCCAGCATGAGCTGAGCTGGGGGAAGCCAGAAACTGACCTTCAGAGGTTTGCAGTTCTCCTTCACATACCGGCCATCTGAGCTGTTCTCATCCCAAACCAGGCCCCCTTTGTAGAAATATTTCTGTTTCCTGAAATTTGGGGAGGGGGTGTCAAATGGTGGAAGTGGAGGTGCCAGGCCCAAGGTGGTGGCAGGAGGGGCAGACAGGGAAGGTAGGTTTGGTGCCTGTTACCTGCAGCAAAGCGGCTAGGCCTGCTACAGCCTGAGGGAGCCAACATCCTCACCTGGTGCGGTGGATCATGTGTGATGGGATGGGCCCCAGAATCTTCTCCATCATCACCAAGTGCTCTCGGTTTTCATGAGTCTATAGGAGGCCGGCACAGAGCAGCAGGGGTTAGTCCTGGCTTTGGCACAGTAAGGTAGCAGAACAGACATGACCTGCCCTAGCCCAGGAGGTGCAAACCTGCCCCTGGAAGAGGGTGCCAGCCCTGCCCCACTGGGCCAGGTTGAATCTCCTTGGTCCATCCCACACAGGGGGCTTCCCTGTCGCCAGGCTGTGCCCAGTCCTTGCCACCTTACTCTGTTGCCCTTGCCAGAACTCCTGTCCTATGCCCTGTCCTTGCTACCCTAGCAGAAGGCTCCTCCCTTCACACACCAGCCACACAACCCTTTGGTAAGGAGAGGCAGCACAGCACAGCACAGCACAGCGTACCTGGAAGAGTGTGAAGCCACGGTAGTACTCAAAGAGGATGCAGCCGATGCTCCAGACGTCGCAGGGCTGTGCCCAGCCCAGCTCTGCAAGCCGAGGGAGGGGCGGTGAGACTCGGGCTGACAGGGATGCTACCCTGCTTCTGCTCGTGCCTCCGCAGCTGCCCCATGTGACGTGGCTGGTGGGGCATCACTCACCCAGGATGACCTCGGGCGGGCGGTAGTGCCGGGTGGCCACAATGGTGGTATGATGCTCGTGGTCAAATGTGGCACTGCCGAAGTCGGCCACTCGGATGCTGGTGTTCTTCACCGACTTCTCCTCGCAGCTCTGAAAGGTAGAGGAAGGCTGAGTGAGGCTGTGTCTACAGTGCCCAAATCGGGAGCCAGGCACAACTTCCTCAGTGCGCCCTACCTTGTGCTCGTTGTAGAGGGTTTCAAACTCTGAGTTCACGAACAGGATGTTCTCTGGCTTCAAGTCTGTGTGGGTCAGCTGGTTGTCATGTAGAACTGGAGGTAGAGGAAGAGGGAGGTGGGCTGAGACTCAGGGCCTCTGCTCCAGCTGGGAGCTGGCTTCCCCCATCAAGAGGTTGAGGACCCTGCCTTTAGAAAGGTGGTACACATGTATTCTCAGCATGGAGGGAGGTTGACACAGGAGAATCACAAGTTAGTCCTTACAGAACAACTCAGGAAAACCCTAGCTCAATTTTAAAAACGATGGTTTGATTCCTGGTACCAGGGAAAAAAAAAGGGGGTGGGGTGGGGGAAACAGGGTTTTTCCCTTCCAAAAAACCTTCCTCTGCCCCTACTGTGCAGAGACCAGGCCTTCCACCAGAGCCCCAGCACCAGAAAAAGAATTTCCAGGTCCACTGAAAGCAAGGTCTCCTTTTCAAAAGACAAGTGCAGCCTCCCACCTGGCCCATGTCCCACTAACGGTAGTTTCCTGCTGCTTAGCACTTCCAGCTCAGGGTTCCCACCTGGCACTATAGACCCTCACGGGTGTGGCCTGGACCCAGCTCAACCCTTCCCTTCTGACTCTCAGCAGGGCCAGGCCTTCAGAGCTGCCCCTGCCACCTATGCAAACCCCACACATCCAAGCTCTATATCCATCACCATCCTTTCCAGGGGCCTTTCCCCATTGTCTCGGTGGTCGCAAACCTGACAGTACTGAGCACTGGTGCCAAGTCTGCCACTTAAGGCTGGTGGGCACATGAGTGAGACACTGGTGGGGAACCTACACATAGCTCCAGCTTCTGTCCTTTCTCCTCTGTGTTAAGGTGGAAGGCAAGATGAGCGGGGTCAGGCCTAGAGCCCCTCCTGCTGTCCTGGGGGCCTAGGGCAGAGCCTGAGCAAGAAGGCCTGAAGGCCCCCCCCCCAACAGTCCTGCCAAGACAGGCCTCAGAGCAGTGGACCACCCTGAAGACTGTCCAGCATCTGTGCACACTTACATCTGAGGGCGTGGCAGAGCTGGTAGGCCATGTGCCGGACATGAGGCAAGGGGTAAGGCTGGAAGTTGTTCTCCTTCAGGAACTCAAAGGTGTTCTTGCCCAGGAGCTCAAAGGCGATGCACATGTGGCCATGGAAGTTGAACCAGTCGGACATCAACACACACAAGCTAGGGAGAGAATGGGGGCAGGCTCAGGCTGTGCCAGGGGCTGCCTCCCTTGCAGGTAATGAATCGCACACCCTAGTGCTGACACAGTGCTAGGCAGGCATACATCCCGTTGGCCAAGACCCAGATAAGCCTTGGGTGCAGACAAGGTCCCTGCTATGGGGGCCAAGTTCCAGGCCCAACACATCCATCAGAGATGGGGGGGGAGCCCAACATGCACAGGATACCCGTCGGGCTGGGGCAGGGTTGGACAGGCAAGCGGGGTGTTTGTTCTGGAGGTCCCCTGCGCCCACTGCAGGGCTGGACCTGCCTGACACAGCTGTGGGGTTGAGCAGGACTGACACCTGGGGCCCTGAAGCAAACTCACTTGCCCACCACCCTGGCCTGAGTATGGAGAGAAGGCGACCAGCAGAACAGAGGCACTAGGCCTGTGGCTAGGGATGGCACAGTGTGTACCCCATAGGCTTCCGTCCCACCCCTACAGACTCACAACTTGTTCTCCTTGTCCTTCTCCTTGATTTTCTTGAGAACATTGATTTCCAGCCGGGCGGCCTCTCGGTATTTGCCCACATTGCGGATGATCTTCAGGGCGACCTGGGACTTCCCTCTGGGACCCAGTAAGGAAGCACAGGTTCTCAGCAGCTGCCTGGCCCTGCCCACCCTCTGTCCCAACCCCAAGACCCTGACACACCAGAAGTGCCCTGCCCTGAGGAGAGCAGCCCTAAGGACCAGGCACGCCTGGTCTCTGCCCATCAGCAGCAAGCTGTCCTGCCTCAGCCTCCATGACAGCCTTTCTGCCTCTAGGGGAAGTGAAGGCAGAGGAGCAGAGCCCATCTTGCAAGCCACACTGCCCTCCCGCCCAGCACATCTGGAGGGCAGACAGCTGCCCCTGGGGCCAGGGCTTCAGATGAAGTGGAGGCCATCAGAAGGCTCAGGTGCCAGGAGTAGGGTCTCCATGGTAAGGCCAGGCCAACCCCCTCACAACCCTCTAGCCCCCCCTTCTTCTCTCCCACCCCAGCTGCAGGGCAAGAGCCAAGTGGGAGACCTGCTGCTGAGCCTGGGAGGGACAGCTAGTGTGGGGACTGGGAGCGAGGCACCCTGGGCTCTTCCCTCCCTGAACCACCTCCGCTGTAGCACCATAGTCCTTAATGCAGGACGCATCTTATTCAAAGGAGTCCTGCAGGGCTGCGGGCTCACTGTGTGGATTTCCGCCTCCTAAAACCACTTTATCAGCCCTGTTTGTTCGCTCTGCATCCCCTCAAGGCTCCCTGGAGTCTGTGCCTGCCTCTCAGTAACTCCAGATGCTCACTTGCCCTGTGGCTACTCAGAGTGGCAAAGCCTGGCTGCCTCGTGTACCATAGTTCTTGGCTCTGCCCTATCCCCATCTGTCACTGTACATACAATCCATCTCTTAGCCCACTGGTTCTGGCCTTGACCTTCTGGGTCACACTGAGCCCAAAGGTTGTAGAAATGGGAGCTGGGAGCAAAGTGAAGTCACTGCTTTGTGTTGTGGCTTTTGGGATGGCTGACTCCCAGATCAAACTGTCCTTTATGAGCAGCTCTTTTAACGCAGAAGTCTGTGGTACTCAATTCCCCCACAGTAAGATTGATCAAAAAATATGGTGTGTATTTAAATTACAGAAAATGTATTACAGTGAAAGACACATTGCCATGAATCCCCTCAATGTCCTATTCCTCGCTTTGAACACATTACCATCGTTCCTGCCATTTTCTATAGCAGTTCAGAAGTCCTGTCCTATCTTTATTTGTGCTATCCTGGCTGCCTCCAGAATTGATTTGAGATGTTTCCATGTCATAGTTATTTTGATTTTGGGGAAAAGCAAGAAGTTGCATGGTGCCAGATCTGGTGGATAAGGTGGATGATTACGTGCCATGATATTCTCTATTTTTTTTTTTGGTACCGGGGATCGATTACGTGCCTGGATATTTTAATGGGCTGCCTTTACACTGAATGATATCCAGCAGCAGCATTCACTGTATTTCTGATCACACCTCATGAAGATATTAAAAAGGACTTCCAAGAATAATGGGGTGTGTTCAAAGTGAGGTGTGGGGAGGCATTTTGAGAGGAATAAATGGCAATGTTTTTACATTTATTTTTCACATTAAACATATAGTTCTCAACTGTCCCCTGTGGCTAAGCTGTAGCAGGAAAATCCCCAGCACTTATTTTGGTCTCTAAAATACTGGCCAGTTAGCCAGGTGTGGTGGTGCACTCAGGAGGCTGAGGCAGAAGGATCACCGCCAGTGTAAGGCCAGCCTGGGATACATAGTGAATTCAAGGCTGCCCTGAACTTCACAGTGAAGCCTTGTTTCCAAAACTAAGTAAATAAAATACTGGCCCACAGGGTGCGTCACTCAGAAGAGAAGGCTGGCACTGTGGAGCTAAAGTACCAAACTGATAAGAGAGAGACTGAGGCAGGGGGTACAGGGAGAGGCAAGTACAGCTTACAGGAGTGCTGAGGGGACACCAGTGCTTCCATCTTGGGCCCAGGATGGAGCGTGGTACCCGCTCACTGTAACATGCAAGGGACAGTGGGAGACCCTGGCCACGTGGGTGTGAAGGTCCAAGGCCAGGTTTCTCAGATGGGACTGTTAAGGGGGGTGTAAGATCCAGCTCTCTGCCAGGCCAGAACTTAGAAGAGCTCACAGGAAGCAGCTCCAGTCTCTGGGGAAATGGGGACATAGGGTGAAACTATTCAGACTCAGCAGTGCTCAGGCAGGAACTTCACAAACCCACAGATCCCACAGATCCCCTCCTTAGTTCAGATCAGCAAAGCCTGGTGCATGCAGGTCAGAGCCCACACTCCTTAAAGAAGGGCGCTCCAGGGCATCATGCCAGCCTTACCCAGCCCGCTCACCTGGCATGGTCCACGCACTCTACCACCTTGCCAAAGGTGCCTTCACCCAGGTTGCCCACGATCTCATCTACAAGAGAGAAGAGGCTAGGCATGAGAGTCTGCACAGCAGGAGGGCGGCAGCTCCTGCAAGTCCACAGCATTCAAATTCTCAGAAACAAAAAAGGCTTCTCTCTCACTGCTACACTCTTAAAAATGGAAGTTGCTAGCATCTGTGTCATTCAGGCAATTACTGGTGGCCCCGCTAAGGCACCACACACTAGAGGCCCCTCCGGGCAGGAGAGGTCTCATCTAACAAGGGGAAGTAGGAAGTAGAGGTAAAGTTTTACGAAAGGTGGCTGTACATCGCTCTTGGAGCCAATCGCCGATCCGGCACACCAGGTGGCCCTCCTTGTCATCTTCCACACTCCGGCTGCTGCGCTTACTGCTCTGTTGGCTTCTCTGCATGCACCGCCCCCCGAAACGCCATCCGACCAATCGCATGGTAGGCGGTTCCGATTGACAGATTGAAGTGTCAGTCAAAGGCAGAGGTGGAGACGGTGCGGAGCCGGTGGGTTGGTTGGTTGGATTTTCCAGATGCCAGCATTTCATAAGGCACACAGCATATATAACGATAGGGATATTGCAAGGGACACGTCAAGACACAAGCTGACTTCAAAAACAGAAAAGTAAAACAGCTACAGGTATGTAAAGAAACTCGGACTTTTATCTCTAAGAGGTGCGCCCCAAGCGCATGGAAAGACACCAGCCTTGCCACTAAGGGGCCAGGCCCTGAGGACAGCCACTGCCCAGACTCCCTCCTCTTCCAGATGTCCCCCTCCCAGTCCCCCCCAAGGTAGCTCTGGCCGGAGCTGGAGACGCAGTGAAGAAGGATCGGCGCAAGAAAGTGGCCAGCCAGGCCTGGTCCAAACACAACCTGGTCAGAGAGCCACACGGTCTCAGCTGCGGAATAACACCTGGCTGTCCTGGCTGCCCTTGCCTGCCTCTGCTCACCCTTGCAGCCCTGTCTGGCCTGACACTGCCACACGGAGCCATGCTGCTGCCTGCTCTAGACGGCAGCCCTGGCCAGCCATAACCACAATGCAGCAACAGCCTGCCATCATCAGCCCTCCTGCACGAGTCGCAAGTGGGAAACTACCAAGATGGGCCACACAGGACAGGCCAGCTCCAGCCCTGGCCCTCATGCAGCTTACAGGGCAGGCCCACTCCAAGCCTCACCACGACACAGGGCACCAAAAAGAGAAGCAGAGCCACGGACGTGCACTGCCATCCTGCGGCAGCATGTGGTGCTGTACAGAAGCCATGAGGCCACAATGGACTCATCCATGGGGAGGAAACTTGAACCCACAGCAACTCAAAGACATCAGAGAGTGAGCTCGGCAGAGAAGATGCTGGCCCCCCACCGGTTCCACCACTGCCCCTACAGCGGGAGGAGGTGAGGAAGACGGATGACGCACCAGACGGAGGACAGGTCAAACTCCAGAGACATCAGGTGTATAATGTAGGCTCCTGAGTCAGCAGAGGTCTGTGTGACCCTCCATGTTAGGACACTGGCCAGGCCCTGCTCTTGGTGTGGCCTGTGACAGGATAAGAGCTGGGCTGCTGGCCTTCACACCATTTCCTCCACTGCCCTGCCACACAGGCAGCTGCCTCCCACAGCCACAATGGCCCTCCAGGAAAGCAGTGAGACTAAAGACCTGGCTGGAGGTCACAAGCGGAGCCCCCAATCTGAGCTGCCTGACAGAGAGCAGTGGTACACAACTGTAGTCCCTGCTACTCGGAAAGCTGAGGCAAGACGACTGCTGGCACCTAGGAATTTGAGACCAGCCAGGGCAAAGTAACAAGATCTATATATAAAAAACAAAACAAAACAAAAAGGGCTGGGAACTTTTTTGGTAGAGCACTTGTCCAGCAAGCCCAAGGTCCTGGATTTAATCACCAGCACCACCAAAACAAAAAACAAAACAAAAATCGGCGTTGACAGGCAAATGCTGCCCTCCCAAGGGGACACTGCAGCTGCCTCTGGGGAGCATCAGGGAGAAGAGGCTGCAGAGGTGAGTGTGTTCCACACCTGGCACAGCACTCACTACACAGGGTGGCCTCAGCAGGGAGGGTGAGGCCACACAGCAGCCCCAGGTCACAGTGACAACCCCACAGGGTTCCAGAGAAGCACACTGCCATCTGCACCACACAGCCTGTGTCTGGAGCAAAGTGGAGATACAGATAGGCTGGAGACCAGCCGGCGCCGGAGCCAGAGCCCCAGAGTTGCCACAAGCAAGGGATGAGGAGACAAAGGGCTTGATGTCCTGCCCAGCCTTGCACCTGAACCAGACGACACATTGCACACACACACACACACACACGCACACAGGGCTCCGGGGCTGGTGTACTCACCGGACCAGCCTGCCTGAGAGGATAAAAGACAGGGGCCCTGGGCCCAGTTAGCACACTCTGGCCACCACTCACCGAGGAGGCGCTGCTACAAGACCTGGTGCGGCGTTTGTGGCAGTGGTGGGTGTGCTTGCGGGTTCGGTACGGCCCCCTCTCCCGTGACCGCCGCCGATGACGGGAGCGAGAGGATCCATAGCAGTCCTCAGCAAACGATGGGCTCCGCTCTTCGCAGCGGTACACATCACTGTCTCGGTGCTCCCGGTATCTCCTCTGGTAGGGCAGGCGGTCATGGCTACCGAGAGGGTCACGGGGACATCAGTCAGGTAGCGCCCTTGCTCCTACCAGCCAGGCCTTGTGGCAAGGCCTTGTAAAGGGCTCTCGGGAACAGCCTGTTGGAGCAGAGTCTGAACTGATGGGGAACGGGAGGGTACAGTGTGCAGGATCCAGGCTGGCCCTCCAGTGAGCACGGTGCCAAAACCCAAGAGCTGCCTGGGACCTCCTGGGGCCTGGGATGGAACCCAGTCTTTCCAAGGCAGAGCCTCTGTTTCTAATTCCTGCCCGGGGAAGGCTTAGGAGGTTGGCAGGGGCAATGCTGACCTAGAAAACGAGCAATGTGCAGGAAGAAAAGGAAGGGGTGGTAAGGAGGGAAGCCCCTGCTGTGCCAGAGAATGCAGGTATGATTGTGTGAGAGCTCGTGAGGGCAGTGAAGGGCTCTGGACAGAAGTGGAGTCACCTTGGGGAGTCTGGGACTTCCCATGCCTTGAACAATCTTAGCCCACTTTGGCTCCCTCCTGCCCAGTAAGCTTACCTCCGGGACCGGGACCTCCTCAGGGGAGGCTCCCTGCGGGATGGGTAGCGCAGTCTCCCTTCGTGCTCCCGCTCCCGACTGTAGGACCTTCGCCTCTTCCAACGGTAGCTCAGGTACTGGTCTGGCTCAGGGGAGCGGTATCGCTTACAGTGATGCATCTAGGCCAAGAGGAGGAGAGCCCAGCTCAGCACAGCCCATGCTCAGCCAGGGACTGCATGGCCACTGGAACTCCCAGGAAGAGGCCCACAGTTCCATTGGGGGCAGCCCCTCCCAGGGGTTATGAAGCGAACAAGAACTCTGAGGTCACAGTGGCCTAACAGCAGACAATGGCACCTTCTCCTCTGCCAGGGAACCCACAGACAGCTGTTTCTCAGTGTGGTCTCCGGGTCTAAGCACTCAGGTAACTGAGTCTTCTGTGCCTAGCTCCCTCCCTCTGGTGGCTTCAGGGCCTTGAGGCAGGCAGAAGGCTGCTGGCAGATTCCACAGAAGCCAGGAGCCAAAGCTGTGGACCCAAATTGGACCCCACTCAAGGGAGGGAGGGCTCAAGTGTAGGTGAGGGGGCACAGCTGGGCCAGAGATGTAGCTCAGTCACGCCTGCCTGGCAAGTGCAAAGTCCTGAGTTTGAGCCCAGGTACTGCCAAAAGAAAAAAAAAAAGATAAAACACAGCCCTTGAGAAAGACCCCCAGGGTCATCAGCACCCTTAGCCTTGAGTCTACCCAGGTGGACGGGGGATTGGGGGGCCGGCCCAGGTCCCCCTAGTCCATACAGGGTCTCAGCACCAGGAGGATGCCATGACCCTCAGGCCATGTGTACTGCTACATCCAGTGCCTTGTCTCTCCCTGTCAAGACCACTATTGTCCTTCCTCTCCTCTACTCCGGCACCCTCTCCTTCCTTTCTCAGGAGTAGACAGCCAGAGGGTCAGCTAGCTAGGCCTCTCTGCACAGACAGGCAGGACAAAGGGACCCAGGTCATTATCCCTGTCCAGCTGGAATTTTTATCCACTGCAGAAATGCCAGGTTGGCTCAGGTGCAGCTGAGAAAGGTGGCTCTGTGAGGCCAGCTCTCAACCCACTCTCACTGAACCACCTCACTGGCTAGGCCAGACACTATGGGGCAACCCTCTCCCCAAACCTTCATAGGCTATAGCCAGCCTCAGTCCCGGGTAGCCCTGGACTTGCCTACCAAACCCATAGAAGCTAACCCATCCCATTGGCATACTAAGGCAGGGTGAAAAGGCTCCAAGATTAAAAAAAAAAAAGGGCCCTGGAGGGAGGTTAGAGTGCTGAGAAGTTCTCTGACCAAAGCCCTGGGAGCTTCTCTGTGATCCCAGGACATACGGCCCTCAATCTCCACAACAGCAACCCCACACACCTGTGAAGTCTGGTCTCTGCCAATCCTTGGAGATAAATGCTGTGTAAAATCAGCAAGTTTCCCAAGAGCTTAGATCTATTGTTTTGCTGATCAGATGACTAATATCTCTTTGTTTTGCCACAATTAACCTGGATGCCCAAGCAATGGATGAAAAGCTGTACAGTATCTCACCTAATTGACCCCAAGGACGCCCACTGACTGGTGCACATACAGGCCGCATGGCCAAAGCCTCCCTCCAGGGACCTATAAGACTGCATGTCCATATATCTTTATGTGAGCAGAAAGTCAGTTCTGGGGTCAGATGTCAACCCAAATCATGGCAAAGCCACTTCTAGCTGTTTACCTTTTGGGGC